TTCCAGAACGCTCCGTAAAACAGCTTAGATTTAGTGATTCCCCAATCTCTAAGAATTTATCTGATGAAAGAAAATTATTCAATTTTAAGTTCACACTTTAGGTAAACTATTTCATCAGTGTGAATATTCAACAAAGTTCGCACACATTAGTGTTTAAAAATTAAAATGCTGAAATTGCAAAATTACAACTGAAGAAAGAAAAAGCTATGCTACTGTTGCTGAAACTAAAACATTCATTTTATTTCACACATAGGTTTCACAATCTACACTTATGTAAAATAAATATTTTGCCTTTCTTTACAACTCTAAGAAGAAGCTAATAATGAAGCCACTTGAGAACTTGACTTAATGATTGTTAAGAATGTTTGGTTTGTGAATCTACTTAGCACCAACTCAATACAAGGTAATCAGGACACTTATTAACAAAACTGTCCCCCAAATGGAAAAAAATAATAAAGGAGCAAAAGAACTTAAGAATCTATACCAAAAGTAAAACCAATGCAGTGTTCTGCCTCTCTCAGGTAAGTCCTGGAAAACATCAACTCTATGAGGTTAGAAACATAAACCAAGCACCTTGTCTTCTCATAATGTTTAGCAATGAATTATGCTACACTATTCTTGATTGAGTTATAAACCCAATCTTAAGGTTTATTATAGATACTAGGGGGAGGGGCAGTGGGTAATGAGTTTCATACAGTATTTTTCACTATCGAAAACAACATAGTACTCTTAATGTTTTAAAGCTATATCTTCAAACGTTAAGTGAAACAACCCCCAATTCCAGTGTTCAACGATTTACTCATTATGATACCATATACTATTATATGTAAGATGCACTATAATGCCAATTAATGCTAAGTGCTATAAAGAAAAATAAAACAGGCTGAGTGGGTAGTGAATGACAAAGAGTGCTACTTTAGAGAGGGTGGCAAGAAAGGCTGGCAAGAAAGGCTCATTTGGTATGATGGCCTTCTAACAGAGAACTACATTATATATTAATAAATAGCTGAAGGACTAACATTCCAGGCAGAGAGAAAAGCCAGGGCAAAGGCCCTGGGACAGGCATGTGTTTGGCAAGTTCAAGAAACAGCAAGAAGTCAGAGTCTGCAGAACGGCTGAAGATGGAAGAAGGAGATACTCAAAACGAGGGTAGAGAGATGTCAGATTCCATATCCTGAAATGGCTGTAGACATGTAGTGTTTATGATTTTATTTTAAGTGAAATAGAAGCTATTTTAGGCTTGAGGGTAGGT